AATTCTCTTTTAAAATCGGTGAAAATAAAACTGTCTCTTTTTCTTCTATTGCTTTCCTCCGTCCCTCGATCGTGAGCATGCAATTTTCAAGAAGAGAGAAAACGACGAAATCGCGAACGACGTTTCGGCGTTTACATCGTTCGATGTATCGCCAGGATTTTCGTTATTGAGATAACGTGCCAAGGATGGCAACAATGGTGGCCATCCTTGCCGTCCCTTCCTTTTTTCCACGCGTCTGCGCGACGCGACAAAAGCAACAAATCTCCTCTTTGGGAAACAAAGAGAGGTTGAATATGAACCGTTGCGCCACGTTCGCCTATAGGCTCATTGTTCCACGGTCGCGGCACAACAATCTAGAAATTGTACTTTCGCGAAAAACAAGGAAAAGAGGAAAAAGAGGGGGAATAAAAATAGGAAAAGAACAAGTAAGAGTAAAAAGAAAAAGGAAAAAAAAAAAGAAGCGAACGTGAAAATAACTCACGTGAAAAAACGATGAAGAATATAAACGAGGGGGGAGGGGAGGGGGCAGGCAGGATACATCGAGTGTAGGCGTAATTATTCTTTAAAGAGGCTGCCCATCGGCTGGAAAAAGCGAGGTCCTCAAACCGTGACGTTTGTTATCGGAATGGCAGGGCACAGGACAACGCGAACCAACCAACGACAATACCGTCGCAAAACTCACCCTCTTCTTTTCCACGCGTCTGTGCAGCACGACAAAAGCGGCACAACCATCCCCTTCTTCACGGCCGCAAAGTGTGCGGAGGAAAGTTACTCTCTCTCTCTCTCTCTCTCGTTTCTCCGTGTCTAGTCGTCTTTTTCTTCGCTTCGATGAGAATTGAAATCCGTATCGACGTAACGATGATTTCACTCTGCGATAAATGGTTCATTATGAGTCTATCCGATTTTTTGTGCGACATTTTCACGATTTAAGACCGTATGGATTGCCTTGTTTCTGAAATCGATAGGATCTTTATTAAGTAAATCTTATGGGAGAAATTTGTTTTCTTTTTTTTTAAATTAACTTGGGAAGATAGATAGAAGCAGAGAAATTTCCTTTTTGATCAATTTAAAATAGAAATCTCTATCCTACTTTCAATTCGAGCTTGAGACGAATAAACGCAATTTAAGCAGAAAGTAAATTCAAACCGATATAGACGTTCTATCGAATTGATTGCCGTGACTCGATAAAAAAAAATCTTTTGTTTTTATACACGTCTCATTGGTTTCTCGTCCCGCGTGAACAACAACAATAATCAAATATTAAAATATATTGTAAAACGAACGATGCTTTTGATCTTATAGTTTCGATAATCGAATAAACTGAAATAAAAAAAAAAAAGAAAAGAGAAAAAAAACAATGTTATTATAGACGAAAAATCGGGAAATGTTGCGCACGAGAGGATTAATTACATTTCGCCGCATTGCTTTTAGCACTAAATGTTTCAAAACATGTTACGACGGGGGGAAAAAAAAAAAGAAAAAAAGAAAAATTCGATTTAAAATATCATATTTTCATTAAATACGCACGAGGCATATTCCAATTTCCAACAAACGTGTTTCAAATCTCTCGTGTGCACGCGTGCAGCACAATTTTTGCTCTGTATGCGAATCGATAAATTCGTCAACTCTCCTCTTCCCCCCCAGGCACTTCGTTTCGTTCGCTGGATTTCTTCTCCTAGTGGACAAAAATTAGTTGGCCAGGTCAGAAGCGAACGAGGAACGATGCACGAACGTTTACGAACGTTTGCTCATCTCGGTGGTGATTGCAGGAAAAAAATTCACGGAAAGTGTTTGCCAGGCCGTTTTGAGCGCGCTCGTAAAATCGTCGCACGACCGAATGCAATCAGGCTGGATTAAACGTTGATACTTTCTAGCTACGAGCCAATTCTCTCTCTTTCTCTCTGTCTCTTTCTCTGTGTTCACCCCTTCCCTTTCTCTCTCCCTCTTATTCTTCTCTCCGCTCTTCCTTCTTTCTCGCTGCGGTAAATCTAACGCCACGGCAAGCGAACTGGGTCAACGAGGGTCGCCGACATTTAAACAACGATTCGATTGCGAACGAGATTTTTGAATTGGATATCTCGCGAGTTTGCCCGAAATAACGCCGGTACGCGTTTTCATGCTCGCTTAAGATCGATGTTTGGAAATTTACCATCCATCCTCTTTTTGCTATTCCACCAATCTATAAAAGAATAAACGAGTTTTTTTTTAAATTAGACTATCGGATAGAGGAAGAAATCGAAAAATTTTATATACCACGTTCACGTTTCGTGGATTGAAACAAAATGGAAGAAAAAGAAAAAAAAAAAAAGAAGAATGAGGAATATTTAGAAAATTCGCGATAGACGTAGGGAAACACGTGAAACGCGTTGGCGTAACGTGAAAGGTTAAAAGTACGGCACGATTATAGAAGAAGTTAGTCGGGTCCAGAAGGAAGAAAGAAAGAACCAACTAAAAATAGCCGGCGGTGCCACATTACGGATCGATTGTTTGAGAAACTGTTGGACGCCGTTGAAATTTCCGCTAAAGTTGGAGCAACCGCTCGATCAACGTCACTCGTCGCACAGTGCGGGAGAAAGAGAAAGAGGGAGGAGGGGAGAGAAGAGGGTTTTAACTTCTCTCTGAAGGGGGTGGCGCAGCGATTACGGTCATTTACAAAAAGGCCGTCGCCGGCGCCAACGTGGATGGAAACAGCGAAATCGCTTCTTTGTTTCACAGGTCTGGGCCACCGATCCCACCTACCTTCCTCCCCCTCTTTAATGCCTTTACGACGTTTCCCATCGAAATCAAACGTTCCCCGCGATCGAGAGTCGGATGATGCAAGATGAAAGACGATGGGGGAGGGGGGAGGGGGGTAAGAGGAAGTCTGACAGAAAAGGCTGGGGAGGGGTTAAAGCAGGTATAGGTAATGTACCAAAATTGCTTTACCGCCGGTCCATTTACGGAGATGAAAAGCACTCTCTGCCAAGTACACCGGTGGCTCCAGCCAGGGTTCACGACAGCCCAGAAGCGTCGTATCCCGCCTCTGCCCTTCTGATGTTGGGTACCGGCGACGTCCAACCCCTCTCAATTTCAGTTTGAAGCCAACCCTTTCACCAATTTGCCGACATCGCCCGCTAGAACTTTCGGCCTAGCATTGTCGCTGACGTCGATACTGTGTAACCTCCTCTTCAATCAACCTAATCACAAACAAATGCGCCCGCTTACCGTCTGCATGATTCATGATCCGGCATTAAATTCTTCTCTCGTATTTAGTAGTAGTAGTAGTAATAGTAAGAATTTCCAACGAGTTTAATTTTCTTTCGTAGCTCGTGCACGAGGGTTGATAATTGGTTGTACGTACAGAAATATCTATACGGTAATAAAGAGGAAATGACAAACTGAACACTGAAATAATAAGATTTAATTTCACAACGTGAAATTTTGTCGTGACAAAGTCGTGAGATTATTTTCTTTTTAAGAATTTTTTTTCAAAATTTCGCAGCAAAAACGACAACACGAATGGAAACGCTTGGCTTGATCCTTAAACAATGATTCCACCGGCGTTTAAATAATGATCGTACGTCGAACGTGCCGAGGGTGATTCGTGGGATCAGGTGCGCTAAAGAAAACTACCCTCAGAAATGGATTGAACCGAATTTCGGAGGGCCTCGAGGTCGATTAGGGTGAAGCCAAACGGGAGATACGAGAGATCTCTCGAGGAGAAGCGGCCGAGGCCATCGACGTCGATTTACCGAACGTCGATTCTATTGCTTGGTCATTTTCCTCGATTTTCTTCCCACTTGACGCCGTGTCTGCCGCCACGGTGAAACAACATTCGACTTCGTATGTTAAACATTTTTCACAAAACTCTTCCCTGTATCATCGAATACACACGTGTTACGAGCTACATATCATATAAAATTTTTTAAATATTTGCATAATCAATCGAAATGAAATCAATTCACGAGACGAGGAATTTTTAAAAAAATTGTTTCTTTTTTTTTTTTTTTAAATATTCAAAAGACTACAACATTTGAACAGCGCGATCTACGTACGTACGTTTCATATAATCAGTTTTCAAATTTACAACGACCGCGTGATGTAAAAGTTGGGACCACGAAACGACCACTAACTTTCGCTGCGCGCGTGGCCGCCTATAATTCACGGACTTTTAGGCGGAAAATGGTCGCAACTTCGGTCGGGCGATTTGTAAATCGGGCACAACTCGACGTTGAACCGCGTTTTCCGTTTGTCGGCGCGAAAACGATCCCAAAAAACGTGTTTTTAGCGCTCCGCCGGACGAGGATGCTGAATGCACCCCGAACAGGATTGTTCCGTGCAAAAGATTTGTACGCGAAGCGTTATTTTTTTCCTTTTTTTTTTCTTTCTTCCTTTTTTCGTTTTTTTTCATTCTTTCTTTCTTTCCTTTTTTCCCCCCTTTTTTTGTTTTGTTTTGGAAATTAATGGAAACTGGAATTGACAGGTGTCCAATCGTTGTATTTCCATCGCGAACCACTATGTCAGTACCTTTATCGTTATCACAGGTGTTGTGTTTCAATTTTTCTTTTTATGTTTTTTCCATGTTTTTCTCCCTTTCTTGTTTTTTTTTAAATATATATACATATATATTATATTGAATGCGTGAAAACGTTAAAAAAAAAACAAAAAAACGAATGCACGGTATCGATCGGCCTCCGCATTATTTTTTTTCTTTCCTTTTTTTTTCCACCGATTCGACCCCCGATCATTTATTGATGAGCGCTTTTAATTCGGGCATAGAAACCCTGTGCATACAAGCGTCGACGTAATCGAGGATCGATACGCAACACCGACGTGTTTCCCATCTAAATTCCCGCGAGTCCTTGATCCTGTCGGCGCCCGACAACAGTTTCGAAACACCACTATAACTGATGGACTTTTTATTTAATTACGAGCCGAGCACGCATCTGTGTACTCCTTCTTGTTAGCCCGATGCCTGGAAAGTATCGGCGCCATGGGGATTCACCCTTACGTTGTTCCCGACTAATCGGACGTGAGACAATCGACAACTTGCCGCTACGCTTCGTTTTTTTCCCTTCTTTTTCATCTTCCTCCCTTATGTCGCGTTGAGACACCAGACAATTATTAATTTGCTTTTATGACCCGAGAGGAAAACACCTGGTTTCCTCATCTTGCTTAATTGATTCTCTCTCCCTATATATATATATATATATATTTTTTATTATTTTATAATTCGTATAAATTTTAATATACGACGATATCGGAAAAGAATTTATGTACCGGGATATTATTATCTCGAATTATGTTCAACATATCTGTGTTAATATATTCAGTTTCGGAGGGTCGATTCAAGGGATTAAAACAAACGTAAAAGTTAATATACGAAAATATCGGTTGGCTAATTTATTAAGTTGCAAGTGATTTGCAAGTTTTACCTTGAAGAAATAAAATTGTCTCGCTCTATCTTCAACTTATTCTAATCGCTCGATATTTTGTACACCAATTTTTATACTTAATCTTGATCCCTAGATTATTAAAGATCTATTATTAAGGAAAGCTATAAGTAGAAATAGAATGTTCGCAATAAGAAGGAGGAAGAGAGATAATGCGAAATAATGGGAGATTTGATAGATTATAGAAACGCATAACTAGTTGCAACAAGATTCTTCGTGTCGTTTGAGTCGAGAATTGAACCGGTGGAAATGCACGTTCGTAAATGAACGAATAATTCGTGCATCCCTGATCCCGAGGCTGGGGCAGAGAGGCTGAATGAAAGGATCGCTGTTATTCCATGAAATTCAACGTCACTTCGAATATATACCAATAGCAGCCAGCCGACCGCGGACCATCAAATTTAATTTCATAAATGGCTATCGTTGGTAACCAGCGCGGTCATGTTTGGTAGTGGCCGATGGTACATGCAAACAATTGTGTTGAATTATTTGCTCGTATTCTTTCGGCGGGTCGCGATCGATGAACTTTTTGTTTTTTCACGTTAGAAATATTCCATATATTCGGATATTTCTTTATCAACACGAATCAATGGAAAAAGCGAATTCGTTCAAACGGGATTATTTGTATATACGATTATTAAAAATTTTAATTATTTGTAATTACTTTTTTTTTCAATTAAGAATAAAGATTGATTATCACTGTTATATTAATATTGAAAATTTTAAATTTTAAATTGATCTCCCGGAATATTCGGACATATTCTTGAATACTATAACGTATCTGGATGTTCATTGTCCCTTGTCGATTTTTGTTTCTATTCAGTATGCGTGAATATTTGATTCTCATTCAATAGATACAAATTTTGTTTAATAAATATCTACCATTGTCATCTGTGATTGTATTATTAATGAAGCATCCGTGTTTAATTAAATTGTAGAGATTAAAATTGAAGAATTGTTATACATCGTCTCTTATTTTCATTATTAAAACACGGAACACTCTTCATTGAAAATAAAGATATGAAAATCCTCTCTACAAATGAGAAATATTATTTTACAAATAATAAGAATAATAAGACGAAAAAGTTTCAAAACAATTTAAACTCATTTACCACACGTTTCAATCGAACCTTCGTCGCGATAAAAATTGAACGAGGCTGAAGTAAACTTCAAAGTACGAAATAAAAGTACCGAAAACCAAGATACGAAGATCCTTTCTCTCGAAAGAAAGAAAAGTTTCATCATTCGATTCAAAAATAGAAAAAAAAAAAACCGTCCATCCAAATAGTCGGCACGCTTACCTTCTGGAACTCGGGACCAGGACTTCGAGAAAAAAAAGGGAGTAAAAGCAGCGCCGTGTCGCGGCGATCGGAGGCGAGAGTTGGGAGGAGGAGAGGGGCGCAGCTGATCACCGGCTATGAAATTTAATTTCATAAATGGCAATCGGTGGTACACGAATTCATAGTCTGTTTGCTCGTACGCCGTGTGTACAAACAGCGGCGGTATCCGTAATACGTATTACCCGCGGCTATCCCGGCTCGTGGCCGGCTCGCGCGCGCCGCGATTGCGCGCGGCGATCGAAATCACGAGGCCGCCGCGCGCGCGTGGCCTCGTCTTCCCGTCCATCGCTCGATAATTACTTACGCGCGGCAATTAGATAATGGACGAGAGGGATGGGAGGCGAGAGGCGCGCGTATGTGCGGCCGCGCAACGGAGGGAGGAGAGAGGAGGGAAGAGGAGAAAAGGGAGTGCGCGACCGCGATCAATCGTCACGTCAAACGAATCGAATGGTGGGCGCGCGATCGTCGACGTGTCTGGCATTTTTATTCGCCGCGGATGGAAAAAGCCGCGGTCTCGGTTTTCCCCGACAACGACGACGACGACGACGACGACGACGCACGCAAACCTCATAAAACGGATAAAAGCCGGCTCCGTCCATGCGTGCTATCGAATGAACCGAATTCTTTTACGTCCCACCGAGCCCGGGGATCGTACTGACTAAGGCCGAACCAAGATTTCCACCCGGATACCGAGCGGGGGAGTTGGACGAGCAACCACCACCGCGGCAGCTTCTTTTATGCTCTGTAACTTTCTGGAAGAGAATTATGTAAAAGCGTTATCGTTTTATTTGAAAAGGGCGAGGGGTGTGTTTGACAAATGTGTGATCATTGAAATCGTATCGTATCCTTCTCCAATGTCCGGTTACGTCAGGTTTATTTTCTTCCTTTTTTTTTTTCCTTTCTTTTTTTCCGACCAGTCATTGATCGATATCGTACTTATAACTCGTAACGAGTTACCTATACGAAATATCGTTCTTGGTTTGGCTTGATTCTACAGCTAGGGTGTTCACGAGTGATCAATAGAGATGGAGGGTGAAAATTCATCGAATATAGTGCCGTTTTTTCTTTTTTTTTTTTTTAGTCTGGAGGATTATTTTTTTTTCTTTTTTTCCTTTTTTTTTTTTTTTTTAGGGAAGGGAAAAAATGGTAGTAAAATACCACGATTTGAAGTATGACGGACAGTTTCGACAAGCGATTAAAATTCGCGATGGCTCGATAACAGAGCCGGTCAACGATCGACGAAACGTTTCGCCCCTCCAACCCCTATCTATGGTTCCGCTCTGTGATTATTTGAATGAACTGAAAATGACTAACGCGCGAGCGGGGGCGTCGAGCGCGCCGCGTCGAAAAGGTGGCCGGGTAAATAAACGAATAAAGGAATTTCTCGATTGACCGGTGAAAAGC